TACCCCCCTACCGGGTGCGGTACCGGCCTACCCGCTACTTGAGTGCTTTTTCCCCTGCTGCAACCCTTCAAAGCCACGGCCACAGGTAAGTACCGACCCTGGGGCCCAATGAACGAACAAGTGCCCTGGCGGGCCACACACACGCACACTCATACCAACCAGCACTCAGGCAGGCACGATCACACACGCAAGCCAACCAGCACTCAGACAGACATGCAGTCCAGCAAGCATACACACACATAGACTTAGCGTCGGGGAACTCAGTAGGGCATCCAGTCTATGAGCAAAACTCAGAAATCAGCTGTGTGTTTCAGTTCGTGTTTTGACGGGTTATCACAGTAGGGTGAACCATGCTTCCCTGCTGCTTGTGATGTTGCTGGGGATGTTAGTTAGAAGTAGGATAGAGATAGGGGGGATGTTTGGGGGGGAGGGAGCGAACATGATCGACCAAAGCTCGCGGATCTTCTTCCATATCCAGATTGCTTCAGGGCAGAAGAGGAGGCAGTGGGGGATGTCTTCAGGTGAGTCGTTGCTGCACATTGAGCAGCATGCCGCTATCAGGATCATAATGTTTCCTTCTCTCGTGTAACCATTGGTTGACTGGCAGGCCTGCATGTGCTATTAGCCATTGCATACTTCGGATTCTACTTGGTCTGATGAGAAGGTATTTGGTCCATGTGATGGTGATGCGGGTCGTGGTATCTAGGTTCAGTATGGTTCTCCATTTCTCTGTTAGCCTTGAACTCCGGTCTCTGGTTTGTAGTCCGAGGTTATACCCGAACTTTACGTCATATTCTTTTATCCTTCTAGATTTACTGGCGACGCCCAGATCCCAGATCCATTCCTTAGGGTCGAATTCCAATTTGTTGATGCTGAGTTTCGGCTGGAATATAAGCCAGAGTGTCTTGTGAGAGACTCTAACCTTCCTGAGAAGGTAGGTTTCTATTTGTTCGTTCTGTGGTGTTTTGTTTAGGATCTCTAGTTCATATAGGTCGTGCTCGATGATGGGGTAGGATAAGAACTTGGCCTGGTAGTTGATTGAGTCTGGTTTTGACACAAAACGGTAGGCTTTCTTTGGTGCGGTCTATGTGATGAGCAGTCCCCAGTCTCCTGATTTCCACATATGCGTCTCTTTTAAGAGGGTCATCCACGGGGGGGGAATGTTTTGGAGGATTTCAGACAGGTTGGTGGTCAGTAGATGGCAGCCTTTTAAGGGAGTGCGGAGGTCCTGTGCGGTGAGCCATTCTTGTAGGTCTTCGGACCACAGGTGTTTGACCTGCCATACTCCTCTCTCCACCCATGACAGCCATCTGCGGTCTTTGGCCCGGAGAGTCCACGGTCTGTCCTCTGTGTCTTTCATCCAGGGATTGCATTACAGCGGTTGTCGTAGGACTTCCTCTTTGTTGCTCGGGGGACCTTTCTTTTCTAGCATCAGACGGCGCCAGGTCTTCAGGATCTGAGACCAGTAGGGGGTGGGTGTAGTGGGGGGTTGAATGGGGGTCACTGTGTTAGTTTTCCTTGCTGGTCTCCCCGATTTGATTGTCCACTCCGTTGCCATGATCCAGAATAAGCCACTCATGTTCGGTGGGGTCGCTGCTGGTGTCAAATTCCTTATGCTCTTTATCGCCACTGTGGTCCACGAGAGGGCTTGCTTGGTTAGGATTTTGATTATCCATTTGATTTGGAGGGTGATCATTTGCTGTTTAGGGTCGATTATACCCAGTCCTCCTTCGTGTGGTTTCCTGATGACAGTTTGTCAGGCCACCTTGTTTATGCAGGTGGTTCTGTTGGGGTCGCCAGTCCAGATATAGCACCTGGCTCTCGCCTTCAGCTTCTTCAGATCGTCGTCGGGGGGCCACCATATGGAGGCCATGTACCACAAGGTGGAGAATATTGCTGTGTGGATAATCAGGGCTCTCACTAGTAGGGAGGCCTGGGCTTTGTTGCAGGTGGCTAAACGGGTTATTGCTCTGGCGAGTAGTGACTTCCCCATCCCTTGCCAGATGCTGTCAGTGTTTACCATGATACCTAGATATCGAAGTGCTTGATCGCCTGTAGTCCAAGACATTGGGGTGGATGGGTCTGGGGGTTGGGGGGGGGTGTCTTCTGCGAGCCGCCACCCTTCCGTTTTCAGCCAGTTCACCTTCATTACTGAGGCGAGTCTGAAGGCTTCCATGGCGCAGGCCAGGGCCTGGAAGGAGGAGTTGTTAGTGCGGATGAGGACCGTGAGATCGTCTGCGAACATCTGTGCAGTGGGGAGAGCAAAGTCGTGGAGGGGGTTGTAGTTTTGTTCGGTGAGGCGGTCTACGGATGGGTCCTTGCGCAGGAAGGAAGATCTTGCCACGTCTCAAATATACCATCTTGCAAATGCACGCAGGCATTTGTCACGTCCATGTACTGCACCACGTCACTTATCTCATCCTGGGAGGTCTGGATGGTGATCTCTGGCAGTTTCAAATTTCTCAGGGTATATCTGCTATTTGCTGCAGAAATTCACAGCAGAAACAGAGAAATGAACGACAATAATAAATGTGGGGACACCAAAAGGTGAACAAGCAGAATGTTGTGACACATATACATGTCCATGAACAAGAGACAGAACCCTGGTCCTAATGGGATTTTGCGCAGCGGCTCATCAGCAAGGAACAGCAGAGAAAATCTGAAGAAGAAGGGTTATTTTCTTAAGAAAGTGTGACGGTCCTGAGATATCATCATGGAAGTGACCCGCCCCAGGTTGCTCAGAGTTACTTCATTCACGCAGGTCCCCTCTGAACTCTAACTCCGGTCTGTATTTCAACAATACATAGGTGTACCAACTGAGCTACACCCATTGGCAAGACTACCTTGATTCACCTATTCAGGCTGAAAGATACCCCAAATACAGCTATAATGACTGTATGTTGTATTCGCGTGAAGAAGGTTGGCTGTGGTCTTCTCTCTTGTTTCTTGTTCTTCTTGTCTGTATTCTTCCTGACTCTCATACCCTCGGGTCTCTTCTCTTCTTCCCTCTCCTCTTGCCTTCTCTTGTCTTCTCTTCTCTCCTCTCCTCTTCTCGCCTCTCGCTTCTCTTGTCTTACCTGGCATCCATGGACCTTCAGTCGTCCAGCTGTAAATTCCAACCCCTTTGTTTCCCTCAGCATTGGCCTGTTTGCCAGCATCCGACATGGGAGTCGCATCTTGACTGGAGGTAACACTCTTCTTCGTTTTTCTGATTTTACCACATTGTCATGCACCTCCATCAAAACAAACACAGTAAAACCCCATACAGCAGACAATACACCTCAATTAAGGGAGGCAAAAAATTATCATACATATTTGAGTGGTTGTCAGGGCTGAAGGTGTCGCATGCCTAATCAGCATCGATCAGAACCAAGAACCAACCTCTCAGAGACAATACAAAAACAGCACAGATGAAGACTGTAATACCAAGATCTAACTCAGCATGGTCAATGACAGGACCTGACAACATACATCATCACTTGGCAGGACGGAGAGGAGACGGAGGGGAAGAGGGAGATAGGGAGGATAAGTCACCATAGCCCGATGGACCCAGTCTCCAATGTATCCCCAATGTCACTGCTCACACAATATCAAGGCGCAATGCCACTGAACTGGGCAATGCCCAAGTGTCACCAATTCTCAATGTCAACTCTCTCTCTCTTTGTCCCTCGTATCTCAGCAGAAGGAGCAGAAGAAGAAGCCCTAGAGGGAAAGAGGAAGGGCGATGGAGATCAGACAGAGGGAAAGAAGAAGAAGAAGAATCAATCCTCTCTCTCTCTCTCTCTCTCACTGCATGTACGCCAGGTACTAACCTGCAGAAAGGTGCCGCTTTGATGCTGGTGCGGACGTCCCGAAGCCAAAAATGGAGCTATGGTGTCACAGGTAAGTCGCAGGTAAGTCCTCCTGGCCTCTGCTCATCTCTCTCTCTCTCTCTCTCTCTCTCTCTCTCTCTCTCTCTCTCTCTCTCTCTCTCTCTCTCTCTCTCTCTCTCT